AATTGAAAGAAATGTTTAGTGACCACCCTTTACCGAGATTCACCAGGTAATGCTTGTCACAATTATCTTTCCAAATATATATTAACTTTGCTAAATCCTCTAAAAGCTAGTCACAGACATTGTGAATCTTTACTCCCAGATCATGTGTGCATCTGCTAATCATGACATTCTCTGTAACCACGATATCTCTGTCATACTTAAGAAAATTAATAATTCCCTAACTTACATATACTTTATACAAATTGAGCATCCCGAATGTGAAAATTCGAAATCTGTAATGCTCCAAAGTCTGAAACTTTCTGGTGCTGACGTGGGGCCCAAAGGAAATGCTCATTGGAGCATCTCAGATTTTGGACCGTTTGGACTTGGGATGCTCAACCCATAAGTATAGTGCAAATGTCCCAAAATTTGAAAAAACCTGACATCTGAAACATTCTTGGTAAGGGATACTTAACCTGTAGTCTGTTTTCCCTAATTTTCAAAATCTTTTATCATTTTGATTTAATTTGTGATCCAGGAGCAAATAAAAATTCATGTGTTACATTTCTCATAAATCTCTTATTTCACAACAGATCCCTGCATTTAGTGCTTCATGATGCCGGTTTTATTGAACAGTCAAGCTAATCCAGTAGTCTATGATAGTGTCCTGCTATTTGGATTTGTCATTTCCTCACGATCAGATTCATGAGGAATGAATCTTAAGCATTTTTGACAAGAGCCCTACGTGGATATGTACTGACTCCGTCACTTCAGGGGAATTGTAATGTTAGGTTGACTCGCTGTTGGTAATGATAAGCTTGATTGTTTGGTTAAGGTGGTGACTGCTAGATCTCTCCAAAGGGGGGTGTGTGTGTGTGTGTGTATGTGTATTTTGCCCCTTTGTAATTCATAATCTTTAATACTTTGCAATTACCTGATTATCTAAAAACTATTCACAAATGTTCTGGCATCCAATGATGATCCTTGCCTTATTCACTGGTACATGTTGGATTGAAAATGGTAATTCTCTCTTTTTTCTTTTTTTTTTGAGACAGTCTCGCTCTGTCACGCAGGCTGGAGTACAGTGGCATGATCATAGCTCACTGCGACCTCAAACTTCTGGGCTCAAGTGATACTTCTGTCTCAGCCTTCCGAGTAGCTGGGACTACAGGTGCGCACTACCATCCAAAAAATGTTTAAAATTCTTTGTAGAGACTGTGTCTCACTATGTTGCCCAGGCTGGTCTCGAACTCCTGGCATCAAGCAATCCTCCTGCCTTGGCCTCCCAAAATGCTGGGATTACAGATGTGAGCCACTGCCAGCCTGAAATGGTAATTCTTTAAGTTCTTTTTTTTAGATTTATTAGCCTACATTTTTCTGTAAAGAAGAGCTTATTCATTTTACCCTCTTTTTATTTTTGGGGTCTCAATGGATTCTCTTTTTATTCAGTGAATTACATATAATTCATTACTGTAGTCATTTTCTTGATGTTCAGATTATCCCCAAGCTCTTGGCCAGTAAAACCAGCTCTTTTGACCTTTTGCCACAGTCCCATTTGACTTTGAGCATTTTCTTGCTTTCTAGTACAGCGAGATATCTCAGGCTCACATTTGGACTTTCTTTGCCCCAAACCCGAGTCTGCTGTTTCTGCAAGGAACCCTGGCTCCTTTTAGTGTGGGGAAGAGTGTTTGGAAACCAAGGTGCATGCTGTGGATGTGCTCATTGCTACTGCGGAGTCGTTACTCCTACGTCCTGTCAGTGTCCCAGATACATATTACATAAATCGTGAGTTGAGAGCATCCTTGGTTTTTAAAAGTTTTCTAGGTGGTTCTGATCTATAGCAAAGGCCATGCATAGGGAGTCATTTTTACTATTGCTCTCGAAAAGATCATAAATTTTACACATAGCCCAACCCAGAGGGGATGGATTTCAGGAGACCAGGGTTGTGGTCCTGGTCCTGTCGTCAGCTATGTAATGGGGCAAGCTGACACTTTGTAGGCCTCACCTTTGAAACAGGTGATTGTGAGGCTCCAGTGAGATCCTGAACGTTATCGCTGCATTTTAGTTCAGCACGGGACAATTTGCTGAAGCATTCAGGAGACAGCTATGCTTCACGCAAGCTATCTTAAGCTAGAAGCAGCAGCTGATAAAGCAGTATCTTACTTTGTATGTAATGGACTGAGTATTACATTGCTGAGGAGGGAGGAGGAGTGGGAAGTACTGTTTCCTGTTTTACAGTTGGAGAGACTAGGACCCAAAAAGCACTAAATAACTTTTCCAGGATTCGGTTGCAAGCCAGCAGTCAAGTATGGGATGGACGACTGCACAGCTCTAGGTTCATAACTCGCTGCGTGTTGTTGGGTTCTCGAATTCGAAGGGATTGAGCAGGGACGAGAACGAAAGACCCTGAGGTTTGTTAGTAAAGACAAAAACCCAATTCAGTTCGTTGAATTCTGTGCATGTAATCTGCCTCTGGAGCGTCAAGGTGACGCTGACTAGACTAACACTTGGGTTCTAGAGTGGCTGGTGCTCCCACACCCACTTTGGGTGCAAAGTGGAAGCGAAGACCCTGCTGCGGGATCATGCCGGTGTCTGTGCGGCCCCTTCTGGGGGCTCGCTCTCAGCCTGGGTTTCTCAGCCACACGGGCCCTGGGCAGATAGCTGAGTAGTGGGGCCTTCAATCACCTTCATCTCCCTCTTCCCTGAAAAAAGCTGAGGGCACAGTTGGCATGGAGCCCTGCCCGCCTTGGATTGAAAGACTCAAACACAGGGCTGCGTAAGTGTGTCTTTGCACACGTCTCATCTGTGACGGAAGTCTGATAAATGGTTGTTGAATGTGTGAGAACGTTGTAGCTGGAAACTGACTAGAAATTCAACACTTTTGGCTGCTGTGAGCAGAGAGTAGAGGCAGCAGTCTCATTCTCACCAGTTGGGGGTCACTAAGATCGCTGCAGGGAGCAGACTTCCCTTTAGGGCCATTGAGTCAACACCTCAAACATCTTAAAACTCAGGGACCCTTGAAGCAGTGCCATCGCACAAGCGTTGTTTACTGCCACTGTGTTAGGTAAAGCCAGTCCAGTCTAGCACAGCGCCCGCTTTGCTCTGCTCAGGCCGCCTTAAAATCTCTTGGCCTCATTTTTTTCTCCTCCCAGGACCGAATGAAGCAATGCGGATTATATGTTGTAACTTAGAGCTGTGTGCAATGCGAAGGTACGGGAGAAAAGCTTCTGGAGTTACAGAACAGGACAAAGGTATTCTTTAGTCTGACGATAAAAACACGCACAGCTGGTGCCAGCTGCCTCAACAGGTTGAGAAACCATCTTTATTTAAGAACTGCCTGCTACCAGAGTCAATAAATAACTACCATTACAAGAAGTACAAGAGAGAAACAATAGGCCAGTGGGAGTGGTTCCATTTTAGCAAACACTGGTCAAGTCAAATCAGCGGTCCAGCTGTGCAGGCCCTGGAGCCTTGGGGCCAAGGCAGTGTGTACCCATCTAAGGGCACTAGGAGCTGTAGGCCCCTAAGCTTGCTTGGGGCTCTGCGCTATCTGACCCATTTTGTTTCCAGTTTTCCTTTACTGACCTGCCTTCCCAAAGCCTATGACCATATATACAAGTCCGTGGGGCATGGCTCAGCTACCAGGAGCCTGTTTGCGTGGAGCTCTTTGAAGGCCTTTAGAAAAATAGCCATCGCATCCCTCTCTCGCCATTCCAGGAGCCTCTCTGGCACCCCCTTCATCCCCAGGACGAAGCCCAGGTTAGGTCTGGCCTAGAGAGAGAGCGCACCACGGTGTGCCCGAGAACACGGGTGAGGACACTGCCGTCTCCCCGACACAGGAGCCCAGTAGGCAGTCCTCTTCTGAGACCAGGAAGAGAAAAGATTCCTGTGTAGCTGGGGAAGAGATTAAGGGAGTAAAACATCCTTAGCTATTTTGGGCTCTTGCCCAGAGTACAGGCTGGATGGCTCTTGGGGCTGCCAAGAGGCAGCGCACGCTGGGAAAAGCACTGGGTTGTAGCCAGACTTCCCGGCGAGCCTTCCGCTTGATGGCTTCCTCCGAGATGCAGGGACTGCAGCAGGTGGGATCTCCGAGACTCTTCCTGTGCTAAACTCTTTCTGATTCTAGGAATCTCAGCCCTGGAGGGACACTTGGAGCCTCTCCCGCCCCTCCAGTCACAGCTATCCTAGACCCCACACCAGCAGCTATCAAAATTCCTTAAAGGCCCCCCAAAAAAGAAACCTCTTCCTTATTCCAGGATATCATTGCATAAGCTTTTTCTGTTGTCTAATCTCAGTCTCTCCTGTTGTTACTTTATCAAAAGGACACCCCTGCAGCCTCCATGGCCTTGCCACTCCGTGGCATCATCTGTATTATGTGCTGCCCTGAATGAAGGTAGATAATCTGACCTTGCTGGGTCCCGAGACTCCATCTGGAGAGAGCTGCCCTCCCACTGAGGGTGGGGTATCCATCCGGACTGATACAGCATCACAGACCAGCAGCCACGGCAAGTAGCACGGGGCTCCCTCCATAGTCTGAGCCCAAGTGTGTGCAGAATGGAGGGCCCTTGTCTCCCTGGGCCCTGGGGAGGAGTTTGCAGGCCGTCTCTGTCCCTAGTCTTCAAGCAGTTACTGGCCACTAAGCTGTGGGACAGAGTACTCGGTGTGACTGTCCCCTCTTCCTCCTGCTTGGGCTTGGTGTGTGAGAGCGGAGAGAATCCAGAACCGAGTCGTGCCCACAGTGAGAGCGAGCCACGCTGTCAACGCCCCCAGCCCGTCCAAGCAAAGAGGACAAAAATCAGAGGACCCTGAGCAGGAGGGGACTCTGAGAAGCCATCTAATCTAGTCTTCTCCAAGCTGGCGCATGTACAAACCACCCCAGCGAGAGGCTGTTGCATTTTACACGCTTGCATGTCCTCAAGTCACCACTGTCTTAGTAAACCTTAGTTAGTGCTCTACCTGGAATCTGAGACTGCAGGAACAGCTCTGTTTTAGTATAGTGCTCTGTTCCCCAAATTCCACCTGCACAGTGGTTAGGTTTTCCTGGTTAAAAACCCTTCCTGGATCTCCCAGCAGGTCTGCCTTCCCTTCCGAATGGACCTCATTAGAATTAAGGTACTTACTGGAAGTGTCTTTTGCCTCAAGCAAGCTTAGGGGTTGCAGCCTCCAGCTTCACTGGTTAGGTCCTGTGCCAAACCAGCTCAACCCCCAGCCCAGCAGTTAGACACCTGTCCCCCGCCGCAGCCTGAGGCAGTGAGGAAAGAGTCAGATGAGCCTTGGAAGGAGGCTCAGCATCCCCTTTCTGATAGGGAGCCAGGCACGGGCCAAATCACAGCCAGCGGGGGACCGGGAAGGATGCTAGGCCACATCTGGGGTCCCAGTAATAGGAGAATGGTCGCATACCTGAGCCCCTAGCACCCTTGCATGTGGGGGGTTGGGAACAGGTTAGGAGGATTTGATTGGGCAGCTCCGGGGAAGCTGTCCTGGGGGTGGGGCGTGGTAGGGGTTTAGTGGGGACAGGCCGAAGGCATATGAGCGTACATTTTTAAAAAATTATAGCAGGTAAACATCAACATAAACCTGCCCAGGAAAATAGAGCAGGACTTAAAAGTTTAAAAAACCATAACAAAATAGAGCTCTAACTGTAAACTACAGAAAACAGGCTCAGGGAGCTTCCAGGGGTATTGTCCTTCAAGATGCCTGTCCCACTGCTCCCTGTGAAGGGCCACCTGTCAGAGCATGGGCTTTGGGGTTTCCTGGTTGTACTGCCACTGTTGCCTAGGTTTGGGGAATCTGCCCTGGCTTTGGCTGCTTTTCTTGGAGCAAGGGTGAGGGGCACAGGCTTCAAGCCAGCACTGCATTTTGAGGTTGCCGCAGAAGCTAGGCTCAGAAGGCAAAGGACTGGATGGCTCCTGGAATCTGCCTGTGCCTTGGGCTGGGACCCAGCCACACCGATCCCTGTGATCACCAACCTGAATCCCTTGAAGCAGAATTTTCATACTCCACTGGCCTTAACCATCTTCTTAATCAGGCCGTAGCCACTCAGCACTGGCTCCTTCCTCTGGATAGACAAAGAGCCTTGAGCAGGAAGGTGGAAGACCCGAGTTCTTACCCCAGCCCATCACTTACGCCTTGGGAAGTCATCTCTAACCCTCTCTGGACCTCCGGTTCCTCATCTAGAAAGTGAGGGACTTGGTCAAGTTGAGCTCAAAGGCCTCTTCCAGCTCTGATGTTCTGTGACGGGTCATATACCCAGAGCTCAAAATAGGATGTCCCATATATTAGCCCCCTTTTCTTCTGGGGAAATGCAAAAGAGCAGTCCAAGGCAGTCTGGGAGTGGGTCTTGCCAGGTGGTCCAGGATATTCCTGGGAGCAGGCAGGGCCACGCTGATCCTTCGCCCTTCTCAGAAGCCTTCCGATTCCAGGACAGCGAGTGAATGCTGCGTTGCTCTCCCAGGTGCGGAGTCAGGGCTGGGAGAGCAGAATCCCGGCCTGCAGGTGGGGAGGCAGCCTCGGGTCTGCAGGCAGAGCTGGAGGAAGAGGCGGGTGCACGATTGGCCGTCTCCGGCCCGAACCCTCGAGGGACTGTGCAGGATGGGTCTTGGTGGGGCAGGGGACCTCCGCAAGACAAGCCCTTTAGTCACCCAGCCACCTCAAGTGGCTCTGTCACTCCGGGGGTGACAGGGTCGGGTTGGCAGTGTTGGCTGAGAGGGTGACGTCACCTGGATTGTGACTGCTTCAGACCAAGGCTGGGGCCCCTTTCCACCAGGTGTCCTGGCCTCTCAACCCTTTTTGGCTCCCACCCCAGCAGCCTGGAGGGTCATCCCCCCAAAGCTGAAGGGGCTCGGGCTCAGGACACTGGTCCTCAGCCGCCTGGGCAGACGGGGCCCCTAGGGAGTCTCGAGGACAGTGTCAGCGCCCAGCAGCGCCGCTCTTCAAGAGGAGAAGGTCAGAGAGTTCTTGGTCCCAGGGTTTGCCGCTCTCCTTAGACTGAAGGATGTCAACGTTTATGCCTGTTCCACTTCCTCAGCCTGTTCGTGCCTGGTGTTCCCGCCCGGCCTCGGCCCCCGCTCTCAAGTGGCAGAGCCCACATGTCGTCCCAGAGTGCCACCTTTGCTGAGCTGAAGGTGTTTAAAACCCCTTCTTCCCGTAGGCCTGTTCCTTCCATCCAGGCACCGTAGAGGGCCCAGGCACAGGGTTTGGTGGCATCATGGACATCACCGCCTGGTGCCTCTTCATTTAAAGAAAAAAATCCTTGCATGGGTTCTAACCCGTGGCAGAATATAAAATATCCTACCTCCTACAAAAAGAGCACTGTTTCAAGTAGGTGTTTAAAACCAACCACTCTCGGGCACAGTGTTGGGCCACCTCGGCAGCGGGAAGGGGCCGGAGCCAGCTGTCTGTCTTCGGAGGTGGTGTCCAGCTGTGGCGCAGAGGGAGGTGCCGGGATCAGAGCTCCAGCGAGCCTATGAGGACCAGCATCGCCACGGAGTGGGAGAGAACGGTGCCAGGGTGCAGCGCCGGGCAGACGGCCGAGTTCTCCACCATCATGCTTGTGCCTGAAACCAGTGGGCAGGAATGAGGGGGCTGCGTCAGTGGGGCCTGGGACCAGCCCCACCCCACCCTTGTGACAGGATCCAGACCTTTCCTAAGGAGACTTGCAGGGGCCGGCTGCGGGCCTGGCGTGTGGACGGCTGGGTGGTATTCTCAGCCCTGCTGCTACGGCATTTTTAAGGACCTTTGTTTTGCTGTTTGGTCTCAGCCTCCCCCCCGTACCCAATGCAAGGAGCACACTCACTTCCCCGGCCCTCAGGGCTGTTGGCGGGGGTGGGTAGAAGGCAGGTGGCATGGGCAATTCTAGGACTACTTTGCATTTGGTTCCTGTCTGCCTGCCTTCCGCTTTCCCCGTGGGGTCTAGGTTGGAGTTGGCTTGTGTGGGGATGATCCCTTCACCAGGCATCTGGGTGGACCCCGATGGGGGGATCAGGGGCGGGAGGAGCAGCACCTCCATTTCTCACGATGTGGACTTCTGCCGGGATCCCGTCCCCTCCAGGCCCCGTGGTCCGAATCTGTACCAGGGCATGGCCGATGTCTTCGGGGACTGGGATTTCTATCCAGTTCTTGCTGGTGAGGTGGAGCGTGGGCGTCGGGTGCAAGTCATTCTGGTACAGCATCTGCGGGAAGGTTCCGGGTGGAGTTGCTCACACCAGGGCTGATCCTTCTGTCTTCCCAGCTCTAGACACTGGGAGGAGCCTCTATAGTTCTGAATCCTTGAGGTCCCGCCCCCTCACCCCTCCTATTGTTGCCCATTGACCAGGCCCCTTACTGGTGGGAGGAAAGCCCGCAAGCAGCTAAAATGTTGCAAGCAGCTAAAATGTTTTCGCAGACTTCTTAGGCTAGAAGGATCCCTAGACCCCACCCAGTCCATCACTGCCCCCGTAAACCCCGCCCTCCCGCAGTGGTGCCATCTGCCTGTTTTGAGAGTTTCCACTACAAGTTACCCAGAGAATCATTCATGTGCTTCATGCCTCTCAGTCACAAACCCTTTGCTTATGTCTCACTCCGATCCCTCTTGCTATAAATTGCAGCTCCGCTGTTCCTCACCAGGCCTGGGATGTTTGCTCCCTTCCTCACCTTATACCCAGTGACTGCAGACTCATTTCGGAGAGCGACCACAGGGTCCCACTTAATGCTAAGACTGGAGCTGGAGAAAGTCCAGGAGATGTTGCCAGGAGGTCGTCGTGGAGCTGCCAGGGAGGGAGAGCCGGGGAGATGTCCAAACGTTTCCCTGCCCCCCTCCCCCCCCCGCCGCCTTTAGCCAGCCCTCTGCCTGTAGCAGTTGTGCCCAGAACATGCTGTCCCCACTGCCTAAGAAACAAAGCCCATGAAAATGCAAAGGTGGGAGAAGAGAGAGGAACTTGAGAGGCCATGAATTCCACCCCCTTATTTCCATGAGGCTTGCTGCCTAGTTTCTGTCCAGCCTAGGGCTTGTGGGCTACGGCGTTTGTCTTATCACTGGGGAAAGAGCGATTAGAGGCACCACCCTCCAGCACATACCCCCACCCCCAGCCCGGGCAGACAGACTCACGGGGCTTCATGGTCGTGGCATTGGCGGAAGGGCTGGCAGGCCCAGTGCCGGCCCGGTTGTAGGCCCGCACGGTCACATGGTACTTGGTGTTGGGGTGCAGGCCAGTGACTCGGGCACTGGTGTCCAGCCCTGCTGTCCTCACTCGGTCAGCGGCTGCTTCTTTGTCCCCAGCTCTCCAGTAGCGGATCTGAAGGGGGCAGGGTCCCCAAGGGTCAGCAGTCAAGCACAGGATCTCAGGGCTGCCCTGGCCCCCCGCGTTCTGTTCCTCTTCTGCTCACCCTGGTCCTCGTGACTCAGGCTTGAGTCTCAGAACCTGGACACTAGATCATGAGCACCCAGAGAGCAGGGCCACCTTGGTGTGAGTCCCTGCTGTCTGTCGGTGCCCAGGAAGGTGCTCGAGACACAGGCCACATGAGGGAGCCAGTGGGCACAGGCTCAATCTAGCTATGGCCTGCGGGCACCCAAGCTCACCTCACTGACGCAGGAGCTACCGTGGGGATTCTGCTAAGGGATATGAAATGCGTATTTGTTCTTGCAAAGTAGCGCCCCAGCCCCCAGCAAGCGGACGATGGCTGCCCAATAAATACAGAGCCATTGTAATGGCAATCATGACATTATTGTAAGACCTGCTAAAAACTCTTCCAAATCAAGGGCAGAGTTTGGAATTATCTCCTCACTGACGCTTGCCTAAACTGTCGTGCTGAAACCCAGAGCTGACTGTACTGGAATGAATTTGCACCGTCACTAGCAGGCCGGCCTGGTGATGCTCCCTCAGGCCATGCCATTTCTTGCTTTTCCCACTTTCCCTCCCTCTCACTCCCTCTCGCGTTCCGTCTACTCCACGGGTACCCTGGTGTGGAGTCATCGGTGGGCCCAGACTTCCCCAGGGACAGGACGATCACCGTACATGGAGGGGCTCATGCTGTCCTCTGTGCAGCCCCGGGAGGCAGGCCTGTTCCAGGGACAGAGTCCCAGCTGGAATGGGCTTTGGCACCAGGGGCAGGCTGTGCCCCTCCCAGACCCCCTCCTCCCCTGGCCTTCCAGCTTCAGCCAAGCATGTCCTGCAAGGCCGTCCCCAGGTCTGTCTGCCCCAGGGGGGTCAGCGTGGCTCAGCCAGGTTTGCCTCCACAGTGCTGCACGGACTGGTGCTCGCTTGGCCACGTCAGTGCCCAGGTGATTCCAGAGAAAGGACTAGTCGGCTGTGAGTTGCCCCCACCTGGCCTTGAAGCCCCAGCACCTGTTTCTCTCCCAGGCCCCAGGTGGGCGCTCACCTCGTACCCCAGGAGGATGCCATTCATGTCCTGCTGCACGGGCTCCCAGGTCACGTTCATCTCGGAGGCTGAGATCCCCCTGGCCCAGACCTTGGTGGGGGCCACCCTGGGTTCTGGGGACCGACACAGAATGGGTTTCGACGCCCAGGGCCTCCCTGTGTCCTACAGAGAAGCCCACAACTGGGGCTGCCTTTGCGTAGGATTTTGGGGGAGCGCCCAGGGCCCAGGTCCAGGCCAAGTGGGAGCCCCCAGAGCAGGCCTCAGGGCCCGCTTCTCCTCCCTCCTCCTTCCCCCGGCCCACGAGGAGACAAGGGAGCGAGGGCCGGAGTGCGGTGGGTGGCGGGGAACCCAGGTGTCCTCTCCACTCCTGCTGGGGAATCGAGCTGGGGGATGAGTAGCGTTCGCCCCACACTACACTCCTAGGGACAGGTGGCTGGGGGGCGAGGGTGGCCGGGAGGGCAGCCCACCTTCCTCAGCCGAGTACACGAGTGCAGTGAGGCTCTCGGGCCCTTCCCCGCGGCGGTTGTAGCTGCGGATCTTGACCTCAAAGGGCGTGTAGGGCCGGACGCTGTCGTTGCTGTAGACGAAGTACTGGGCGTCGGCGCCGGGCACGCGGGCCGTCTGCCAGCGAGTGCTGCCCTGCCTGCGGAAGGACAGCAGGTAGCCGAAGCCGTCTCCGTTCTGGTACTCCCGTGACATGGGCTGGCGGGCAAGAGCGTGGCATGGGCGAGGGCCGTGGTGCGTCTCCCTGCCCGTCCTCTGGCCCCACCCAACCTTCACCACGAGGGGCGCCCGGGACGCCTGAGCCTGCGCCGGCTTTATGCGCAGTGGATTCGCGGGAGGGGCTGCAGGTGCGTGGGGCGGGGAGTGGGAAGTCGTCTGCGTTTGGGGCAGAGCTGCGCAGCGCTGCTTTCTGCAGCTGCGCAAGCGGGAGATGCGTGCGGAAGGGAGGAGGGGGAGGGCTTCCGTCCCTGCCGGCTTACCGTCCAGTTCACGATGAGCTCTCCCGGGGCTCCGCCTCCTCCGCTGAGTCCTGAGGGTGCCACTGAGGGGGCTGTCGGGCACCAAGGGACACAGATGTGACTTGTTAATGGGCAACAAGGGAACAGAAGCTCCGAGCCTATGCCTGCAGAGCATGCTAGGATGGGGCACCCCTTCAAGGGGGCCCTGGTTTTGTCCTCCAACAGCCCCTCTGGGCGTGGGCTCTGGAGTCACGCAGGCCTGAAATCAAATCCCACCTCTGCCACTTGCTAGCTGTGTTTCCTGGGGCAAGTTACCTAACCTTTCTGGGCCTCTGATTCTCCTCTCCATGAGGATAATCATGTTTCTCTCAAAGGCCGTAATGAGAATGGAATTAAACAAGATGGTGGCTAGCGTATGGTGGATGTTCCACATGGGATCGCTGTCCTCCTCACTCCTGTCAGCTTAAACTAAATAACAGAACTTAGTTGAAATTAAGGGGAATAAATAACCCAGAACTGCAGTTAATGCAAAAAAAAAAGTTTCAGGGTGTTTTATTACTATTTTTGTGGCACATTTAATTTCCTAATTGTCTCTAGTATTAAATAAGGCTGATATTATAATAAGAATCTATTTCATCAGCTCACGCTTGGCAGGGAGTAACTTGGCTGAGGGTCAAAATATTTCTGCAGAGAATCCAGCAAATTGGAGACTTTTCACTACGTTCTGGTGACAGTATCTTAGGGCCTTGTAACTTGCAAGGGGCGCTTAAACACATTGCCCATCTGATCCTGTGAGGTGGGCGTTATTATTGCCCTTTTCAGGGTGGAAAGACTAAGGCCCAGAGAGGTTAATCGACTTGCCTAAGGTCACACAGCTAATACGTGGCATAGCTAGAATTTGAACTCATCTCTTCTGATGCTAAAGCCCATCATCTTTCCTTTGTGTCATCTTTCCTGTGTGTCTTTGTGCTCACCGTCTCCTGGGATATGAGAATAAAGGAGTCCCCTCCCTACCTCACATTTGACTCTCCAAGAAGTTCGGGATCAACAAAGAAAGGGCTCCCCTTGAACTTTCTTTCTCAGGGGAGGTACCACCAAAAAAAAAATGTTGATTCCAGAAAGAGCCCGGAGAGCCAGCCTGAGGCACGAAGGAGAACACGTTCAAGGGAGACAAGACTTCCAGTGTGGCGGGTCTGGGCAGGTGCTGGAGGGGAGGCAGGTCCTGATTCTGTGCTTCGCGTCCTAGGATCCCGGGGCTCTCATCCCAGGTCCTCGCCTGCGAATGGCTCAGAGGGTGGGCCGGGGCCTCTCAGCAGACGCTGACCGGGGCCTGTGCCTCCTCCTCTCTCAGGGCTTCTCTCCTCCCTTCCTTCCCCACTCAGGTTCTCACAACTGCACGCCTTTCGCTGAGGGCTGTGGGCAGATTGTTAATTTCTCCTGCTCCCAAAGAAACCATCCAAAGAAGGGCTTGGAAACACTGGCTGCTTCCCTAGCCCCGCCCAAAACACACACACACGCACATCTTCCACATCAACTGATTTCTACAGCTCATGCATTTGCAGGAGGAATCTGCCCACCACCCCATGGTCCTGGGTTCAAGTCCATGCTCTGTCAGTGTGACCTTTCCCTTCTCTAAACTTTGGTTTTCCTATTTTTAAAAATTAAACTTGGTTGGGGGTGGTGGCTCACGCCTGTAATCCTAGCACTCTGGGAGGCTGAGGCAGGAGGATCGCTTGAGCTCAGGAGTTCGAGACCAGCCTGAGCAAGACTGAGACCCCCGCCTCTACTAAAAACAGAAAGAAATTAGCTGGGCATGGTGACACACGCCTGTAGTCCCAGCTACTCGGGAGGCTGAGGCAGGAGGATCGCTTGAGCCTAGGAGTTGGAGGTTGCTGTGAGCTAGGCTGACACCACAACAGTCTAGCCAGGGCAACAGAGTGAGACTGTGTATCAAAGAATAAATAAATAAATAAATAAACTTAAAAGCGTTATAGAATCACATGCAGTGTAAGGTTGCCCAGTTTTTAAATGAGGAGTTTGGACTAGATAGTTCACCCATGCAGTGGCCCTGGTCCCTGCATGGTGTCCCTTCCAGTCTGTTTTGTTAGAGAGTCTGAAGCTGGCAAGAAGGGTTGGAACTCGGCGTAATTGCTGCTGGTCTGGGGGTCCCTGCAAAGGGGCCAGGGTCTCTGCCCTGACGATAGTTCTCTTTGGGACACCCAGGTCTCTGACCTGCATCCTTGGTCCGGATTTTGCTGGAGGGCCCACTGGGCTCACCAGTGCCCAGGATGTTGCTGGCCAAGACCCGGAACTCATAGTCCATCCAGGGCGTAAGGCCCAGCACCTGGGCGGTCTCGGCGTTGCCCTCGATGTTCGCAGGATCTGCAAGGCACCAGGAGTCAGGGTTTCAGCGCTTGTTTATTCACCCGGATGTGGAGGGCAGGCACGAGGCCTGAATCCCCACTTCGTACCCAGCCCTCGCACGGTACTGCTGTGTATTAAGCACTCATACCTCTTTCAGAAATGATTGAAAATGAGCAACCTTCCCTGTCTTGCTGCCTTTGCTAATGCTGTGTGTACCCTACACCCGCACCGATATTTTCACTGCTCCAGTAACAACCCTACCAGCTCTACAAGGGCACACTGAGCGCCTCCTCGAACTCTCTCCTCACTCTCCTACTCCCCGTATGACTGTCTACCTGCCTGCCTGGGTGCTCCCCGCTGGCCAAGGGCAAAGCTTGTCCCTCTTTGGCCCTGGCCCTCCAACCCCTGACACCTGATCCCCGACCCTTCCCACCTCCCGTACCCGCCGGGCCTATCAGCGCTGACCCGCAGGGCCTCACACTTACTGGTCCGAACCTGCTTCCACTTCCCCGCAGGTGGAGTGCGAGCTTGCAGGGTGTACTTGGCAATGGGGCTGTGGTTGTCAAAGCCGCGGCTCCAGCTCAGCTGGACAGTGGTGTCGCTGATGTCCCTCACCACCACGCCTCCTGGGGGACCTGGCGGACCTGCACCAGGAGGTCAGAGCACAGTGGGTCAGAACTGGGCCAGCCTCCTCCAGGCCAGGCTCGGGCTGGTGCAGTACCAAGATAGGGCAGCAGAGGGCGCCACGCACACCCTGGGTCGGGGGGCGTGGCTTGGCGGCAGGTGGTGGGCGTGGCTGTGGGGGGGGGGAGGCGTCTGTCTCCAGGCTGGGGGTGTGAACAGAGGGGCGCACAGGTTCCCCAGCGCTAGGCTGTGAGAACCTCTGGCTCAGCAAAGTACTCTCATCTCAGCATGTGTTTAGGAGTGAAGTTTTTAAGAGTTTGGCTTTGGAAGAAAAACATTCTACTCATTAAGGACCTGTGCAGAGCCACAGGGTTGCGCAGCTCAGCGACTTCTGTCGGGAGCCCTTCCCGTGGCTTTGAGGGAGAGTCGGGAGACGGGGAGAGCAGGTCAGGTAGCCTCCAGGGGAGTCAGGTGGGGGTAGAGGTGGGAAATCCCAGCACCTCGGACCAGGACCGTGGCGTCCTTGGATGCGCTGTCCACCACCGTCTGGGCCATGCACGTGTACTTGCCGCCGTGGCGCAGCTGGGCGTTCAGGATGGTCAGATCCCCTACAGTCTCCTTCTGCACACGGGGGACAGCGGGAGGGAGGTCAGCGGAAGCGGCCCTGGCTGGTGCAGTGGGCCATGGGACACGAGGCAGAGCTTGGGGGCCCCGCTCCGTGACGTCCGTGCACCCTCTGCGTCTCAGTTTTCCTGTTTGCTCAATGGGAGGAATCGGCTACTCTCCACTTAGTAGCACTGGGGACTAAATGACACAGTTTGTTACAGGAGACAGTCAACGATAGTCCAAGCTAATAATGACATTTGTGCTGGGGGCAGGCTAGCAAAGACAGCAGTAGGAGTGATTCTTTCTGGGTGCCCGGAGCTCCAGGCTTTTCCCTAGCCCTCTCCTAAATGCACGGTTCCCAGGCGGGATCCAGGAAGGGTGGCTGTCAATCCACCAATGTGCTTACTGTGCGTAGGCCTGAGGGAGTAGGGAAGGGTGTGGGGGGCTCGGAGGTGGTGATGGCTAAGGACATCTGTCTATCTGGAAGGAGGGAGGAGCCATGGGGGCTCTGGCCTCGGGCCTCACCACATTAGCCCTCCGGTAATGCCCCCCAGGCTTATCGAAGTCGATGGGGAAGTCATCCAGGGTCCAGGTGAAGGTGAGATCCATGGTGGGGTCATGGGAGGCGTGGCACTGTAGGGTCAGGTTGTCACCCAAGTTAATGTCGGCACTCGAGGGGGCTAGGGTGATCTTGGTTGCATCTGCCAAGAGAAACAAGACCCCCGGGTGGATGGAGGAGGAAATAGGCCCAGCCATGGGCTGTGGGGCAGGGTGAGAGGCTCTGTCCTAAGCCCCAGGAAAGCGAAGAGGTAGTGTGACCAACACAAGTCCTGACCCCTCAGGAGCCCCATGAGTGTGTGGCAGGCAGGGAGGCATGACCAGACTCTAGATGGTGGGCAGGGTGTGGTCCCAGGTGACACTGAATCCTGGGGCAGCCTCCACACCAGACTAGGAGCAATATGGAGACACAGGAGCAGGATGGTGGGGAGGGCGGCACCCTGGGCAGCACAGCCACCGATCTCACCAAACCACAGCCCTCACCGCGCACAGACAGGATTCCAGTGCTGTTGGCTTTGCCCATGAAGTTCTCAGCAAAGCAGGTGTATTTGCCTTCATCTGACCGACTGATGTTTCTTATGATCAAGGTGCCATCCGGAGTGACGGTTACTCTGCAGCAAGGACAAAGCAGATCTGGCCAACCCTGGGACACACTGTCGTCACAGGAAGGGGACTAGCCTCCAAGAAGGACGAGGGGGGGCAGGAACTGCCCAGGGTGGGGTGCGGGTGCTACCTGCTGCTGTTGACCAAAATCTCAGTGCCCTTGCTCCAGAGCACCACGGCCTTCGGAGCTGCCCGGGGGTGACAGGGGATAACGACCTCTCCCCCGCGGGCTGCAGGGATCAGACGCCTCACAGGACTCAGCCTGAAGTCAGGAGCAAGTGCTGGAAGGAAAGGGGAGAGCCAGATAGTCACCCGCGGAATCACAACAGCACCCATCACCCTTGATGAAGATGTCACCTGGCCGACCCTCCAAGGCCAGCCCATGACTCCTGGCGGCACCACTCCCGGGACACATCCAGAATCCAGCCCCTTCTCCTCACCCCTACTGCCGTCCCTCTGGCCCAAGCCCAGTCTCCTGCCTGGACTCAGAGAAGCCCCCTGATCGGCCTTCCTGTTTCTGCGCTGCCCTCCCACAGTCTCCTCTCCACACAGCAGCTGGGAACGTCTCTTTCAAAGCTCATATGTGCCACTCACCTGGCTGAGTTTTTGTCCTTTGAAGTTACAAAGTCTTTTCCTGCCTCCGGACTTTTGCGCTTGCTGTAAATTTTGCCTGGAAATTCCCCAGATCTTCACAAGGCCGGCCCCTTCTTAACACTCACATCCCAAATGTGACTTCCTCCGGGAGGTCTTCTCCTGCCACCCCATCTAACTGGCCCCCTCATCCCCATCCCTCTGCTGGATTTTCTTTATACTATATTTTTTATGGCTATCCGAAATTATATAATTATTTGGTTTTGTGTTTATTTGTCCCTCTCCCTCTACTGGACTGTAAACCACTTGGAGGCAGACACTGATCTTTTGTGTTTATTCCCTAGGGGGTGTTGAGTAAGTATTGGTTGAATGAATAAATGAGTAAGTCTCAGTTAAGGCTCACTACAACTTGACAAGGCAGGTATCATTATGTCCACTTTACAGAAGAGGAAACTGAGGCTCAGCGAACACTGGCTGACATTTACTAGGTGCCTCTTATGTGATGGGCAGACCCTCTCCCATCTGTCTCATTTGCTCCTCCCAACAGCCCAGGAGGGCAAAGCTGTGATTGCTCATATTTTATAAATCAAGAAAGTGGGACACAGAAACATAGTAACTTGCCTAAGCTCACGTAGCTGGATGTGCTGGGTTATACGCAGATCTGATTGATTTGGTTTTCACTGACTTTTGTCACCATTTTTTTCACTGCAGCAAACATTGACTTTGCCTGTGCCAGGCATGGAACAATCAGAGACCCTGTCCTCCAGGAGCCCTAGATCTAGTGTCTCACCTCCTTTCTTAAATCTCTGAGTTCTCCTACTCCGAAGCCATTGGAAAACCAAGGAAAACTGCCCATGTGTGTGTGTGTGCGTGTGTGTGTGTTTAGCAATGCCTAAACTCAGAACTCCTAAAGTCCCCACCTGTGTGTCCTCAGGGATGTCCCCTGCGTCCCTGGGCCCTTTACCTTGCACGGCCAGCTCGGCGCTGGCGTAGATGGTGCCGTGCTTATTCTCGGCCACACACTGGTACATGCCCGAGTCCTCCAGGCTCAGCTTGGAGAACCGCAGGTCCCCCGCCAGCACCTCCACACGGTTCTGCGCAGAAGAGCCCGGCCCAGGGCAGGGCAGGGGTATCAGGACCACCCAGGGCGGAGGGGCTGGCAGGGTGGGCACGGTGGAGACTCTAGGCTGATGACCGCTCAAGGACGCAGCTCATTTGTCCAGTCCCACCTGAGGGCCGCCTGTCATCTCCGGACTCAGAGGTTCCCCAGGCCTGCCTGAAGCCAGAGCGGCAAGGTGACCACATCATTTTTTTGTGGCTGAGATGTGCCTGGACCCAGGTCTCCGAGTCTCTATTAGGTTGACCCTGTGAGTCCGGGATGGCAAGAAGCACCGAGGACCACCCTGTGGCACCCTAATTAGCTACCAGAGGGGCCACCAGTGGTGGTGGGGGGAGGCTTTGGGGGGTGAGGGGACCGGGTGAGCAAGCGTCAGTGGTGGCGTGTGGGAAGGAGCCCACGTCTCCTACCTGGGAGGCCAGAGGCTCCCCGTTCCGCAGCCAGCGCACTGTGGGCCGGGGCTTGCCGGCGGCCGCGCAGCCCCAGCGCAGGTTGGAGCCGATGTCGGCCTCGGTGTCCGAGATCACCTTGAGCCACTCGGGCTGAGCTGCGGGGAGCAAGGGAAAGACAACGCGGGATGAGCCGGGAGGGGGCGCCAGCTCTTTCGGTGGAGGGAAAAGCAAGGCTGCAGTACCTGTGCCGGGCAACAGAGGGCGCCGCCAGCATTCCGGGATGGCAGACCCGGGAGAGGGGAGGAGGAAGAGGGCCCCAGAAAGTTGGCACGCTGCGCTGGTGACTTAAATCATTCCGAAGCCCTCCACGTGCTTTCCGCACCCCCGACTGAAGCTCTGAGCCTCCTCTCTTCCCATACCCACGCAGCCCCGGGGCAGGAGGGCTCAGGCAAGGGGCCTCCCAGGCTCCTCCCTCACTTTCGGGTCTGTCTCCTCAAGGACAAGGCTGAGGATGGGGCAGAGGGTGTCCCCGGCTCCGTACCCTGCACGATGATGCGGCCCTGGACGGTGTCGCGGCCCTTGGAGTTCTCCGCCTCACACTCATAGGTGCCCTCGTCCTCAAAGCTGACGCTGGGGATCTGCAGGGTGGGCTCGGCTGTGGCCCACTGCGGGGACAAGGAGCCGTCCACTTTGCGCCACTTGATCCGGGGGACAGGGCTGGCAGGGGAGACAAAGCGGGAGGGGCGGGGCGGGGCTGGCAAGCTCCTCCCGTGCCTGCAGCTCCTCCCCGCCAGACCCCCAGGCCCTCCTGAGAAGTTTGGGGAGGAGGCAGGGGGTTTGGGGAGGAGGCAGGGGGACCCTGGGCCTGGGAGGGAACAGAGGGAGAGAGGGTGCCTGTTCCCAGGTGGGCTGGGAGCACAAGCAGGGAAGGGACAAGAGGCAGGGCTCCTCTACCCCTGTCCCCTCGAATAGTTGTGCTGCCAGTGAGGTGGGTCTTCTGTGCGCTCTGCACCCTGCAGCCGCTCGCCCTCCCCCTGCACTGGTCACCGCGACTCGGGGTCTGCCCTCCTCTGCAGTAGCCTGTGGCTTGGGTCTTTATGGGTTCCCTTTCCCATCATCCCAACAGGGCCCTGCCTCTGCTCTTCAAATCTGTGCACTAAAATGGACTGAGGTGTCAGTGAGTCCTAAAGGCTTAGGTGTTACCCTTCCATGTGACATATTAAGATGGATTTTCTGGAAGCAATAATGTTCCACAGACTAAAGGCCACCCCAGGTAACCTCAGGAGATGTTTGGGAGACCAAAGTACAAATCACATTCTTTCATTCACTCTACAAACATTTATTGAGCACCTGCTATTTGCTTAGCCCTGTTCCAGTGAATCCTTTTTCTGGGAGAGCAAGAAAAGCAATGCTTTCTGTTGTAGCTCTTAAACAGATAGTTATCTATTTAACATTCATAGTGAACACTCATAGAACCCTCACTAAATACCAGGCACTGTTCTAAACGCTTCACATATATTAACTCATGGAATCCTCATAACCTTGTGAGGTGGGTACTATTGTTATCACCATTTACAAATAAAGAACATGAGGCACAGAGAGGTTAGGTAGTCTACCCAAGGTCTCCCAGCCAGTGAGTGGCAGAGCTGAGATTTGAACCAGGCAGGCTGGGTTGGAGTCTGCACACTGTGCTGCCTGCCCGCGGCCCTGGCTGTTACTCAAGCTGTCCCGTGCATTGCGGGGAGGACCAGTGATCTGATATGCGTAAGGCCTCTGGTGTGCGTGATGCTTCACCCGGAGAGTTAGTGCTCAGCGAATGTGTGCTCAGTACCCTGCTAGACCCCGTGCGGGACACCAACAGCGCCGACCCTGCCTGCCCTCAGCCGGGGGTCACCTGTGCGCTCCTCTGAGGGGCTGTGCCTCCCTCTTCCATCACTCACTTCCCAAAAGCGAAGCACTCCAGGGTGACCTGCTGCCCCACCAGCGCATAGGTCTCTGCTGGAAACCGGGCCTTGATGCTGGGCGCAAAGAGCCGGGTATCTGGGGAGAAAGGGGTTTTGCAAATCAAATGCCAGTGACTCCAGATCAGGTGCTCCTGCGTTAGGGATCTCTGCCTGGGCAGCTGAGTCGGGTCTCAGAAGACTCTCCCCTTGGGGCCTGGGGCAAGAGTCTGAGGGAGGCCTTGCAGCAGGAGGACCGAGCTGATCTGCACGATCTTCAAGGGAAAAGCCCTTTGCCACGCTGGCTGACCCTTCCAGCTCCTCCTCCCCGCCGCGCCCCGCTAATCCTGACCTTCGGCAGCCAGGTTGAGCTGAGCGAACTTGCTGAAGACACTCTTGGTGGAGAAGTCCATGTGGCTGGTGGCCAGACAGGAGTAGTTACCCAGGTCTGAGGCATTGGTCCGGGCAATGTACAGGTTCCCTGTGGTCTGGGACACGAAGTGACGCCCGTCCGTCGGGATGAAGTTGGGGAACTCGTTGAGGAGCCAGCGGTAGGACAGGCCTAGGACGGGGGTAGTTTGAGGAAACCAGGGGGTGCTGGGCTAACAGGGCAATTCCGGGTGGGAGCCCAGCATGCTGGTGGCAAGATGCCGACCCTGTCCTGAGAGCCCCCATGCTCTGCAGCAGGGCTGAGGGGAGACCTAGAGGGAAGACGCGACTTGGTCCCTGCCCTCCAGTCTGAAAGGGGAGGCAGGACATACACTTAGAAAGTGACAGACCCATGAAGGAAACACAGATCGTTTCGAGTTGGGACCCCAGGGACCAGTGCCTCCAAGGGTCACTCACCACCTTTTAGTCCATCCTTCTTCTGCTAAGCATCTAGAAGCCTTCCTGAGCCCTCTGTCTGACCCTGCCCAGGCTCCCAACTCACCTGGGTAGTGGGCGGGCGGGTTACAGGGCAGCATCACCCCCCAGCCTTCGTGGGTTTTCACTGGGTCTCGCTCCTCCTTGGAGAATTCCTGCAGAACTGGAGGCAGAGACCAGGGGACTCAGGCACTGTCCTCCGGGCCTGGGAGACCCTCCCCAACTCATCCTCCTTGGGGAAGCAGCAGTTCACTAGGGCAGGTCACGTGAGGTCAGGAAAGCCTGGCTTGAGGGTGTCACCTGTCCTTTCTAGGTACATTCTCCCAGCCCTCCTTCCCCTCCCCCAGAGTGTCTTGGCCCCTGTGGGTCTCACAGCCGAAGCGGAGGATGGCCTCCCTGCTGACAACAGTGCCCACTGGGTTGGAGGCCAGGCACTGGTAGACGCCGGCATCCTGTGCCTTGGTGGGGTTCATGATGACCAGGTTGCCGCCCACCAGCTGGTGACGGGAACCTGGCTCCAGCTTCATCTCGGTGCCATTCATCTTCCACCTGTGGCAGGTGCAGAGAGGGGGGACCTCTGAGTTCTGCTGGGGGCAGGGCTGATGTGGGGAGGGACTCCACGGCTGCCCAGGGCCCCCAGCGCCCCCTGCAGGGGCCTCACCGGTAGGTGGCTGGAGGGCTGGCCCGGGCCCGGCACGCCAGCAGCACCTGCTCCTCTGTGGACTCCTCTGGGAACAGCAGACCAAGGGGCTGCTCTTCAAAGACAGGCCCAAAGGTGGCTGGGGATCCCCGGGCTGAAGTCCAGGCTGCAGATGAGGGACACCAGCAGAGGCCTCAGGGCCTGGGCCCTGGCTGGAGCCTGGCCGCTTGGGCCTCGCTGTCTGGTAAGACTTTCTGCAATGGTGGCAGGGCTCCCCTTTCTGCACTGCTCAGTGAGGTACCGACTGGCCGCATGGCCACTGAGCACTCGAAATGCAGCTAGAGCGGCTGAGGAACCATATTTTTTATTTTATATTATTTTAATGAATTTGAATAGGCTAGGCAGGTCCCATCTGGTCATGCTAGTTTAGTCAATCGCCCATCCTACACTCAGGTATTGAGTACCTCCTGTATATTGGCACTGGGCTGCAGACTGGCTTGCAGAACTGATTTGGACACAGTTCCTTTTCTTCAAGGAGCCTGCAGTCCACGGACAGGACAGAAAACCGACAGTGCAAGGTGGCAAACGCCAGAGTAGTGGTTTACGCTCAAGATGCTGGAGCCCTCAGAATGGAAGCAGCTGCCATTGCCCCAGGCTCGCAGGCGAGCCTCACAGAAGAACTGGTCTGCAGGGCGTGACATGCCTAAGACGCCACCTCCGCCCAAAAAGGTCCAGAGAGGATGTGTGTCCCTGGGGTCTAATGCCCCTTCTGGGACAGTGTGGCCCAACGAAAAGAACCCAGGCCGGGGGACCAGGCTGGGCCTCCTACCAGCTGCGTGACCTTGGGCAAGTTATAGAACCCTCCTGAGCCTCGATGTCTTCATCTGTGAAATGGGAAGACTGTGAATCCGCCTCCCAGGTTTGCGCGAGGATTCAGCCAGAGAAACACTGGTGAGGTGGTGGGCGCAGGGTTCAGGGCGTGTGCTCGGCAAATGTCTGCTGGACCCAAGTGTCGGGTGGGTGGGGACTGGCAGGAGAGGGCAGGTCTTATAGCGGGCAGGCTGCTTTGGTGTCACAAGAAATGCCCAGAAAAGAAAGTGGCTTGCCCTGTCTGCAGCACAGAAGGTCTAGATCTCCTGAACTTGCTGAAATGGGTACCGCACATGCAAATGGAGCTTCCCTGCCCAGCCCTGTTCTGGGGCAGACGCCTCTCTCTCCATGGGTGTTGTCCTGCCTCACCAGGGCAGGGGCAGGGGACACAGAGGCATAGATGGATGGTGCTTCACAGCTGCCTTTCCGCAGGGCTGGGGCAGGCTCTGTCTGCTGACCGGTGGGGACAGTCCACTTTGCCTCTGTGGCATCAGGCGGAGCCAGGCCACCCCTAATTGGCTCCTACCTCCCAACACAGCTGATTTCAGGCCCTCCTTGGTGGGGCTTGTGGGGAGAGATCCCCATTAACTAATTAGTGCCTCCTCTCCTGGCGCATGCTGCTGTCAGTCCTCTTCCGGGGGTCCCCGTGCTGCAGCTGAGGCCCAGCCCTGGCCCCTGGGAGTGAGGGCAGCTGTTCAGTAGCTCTCAGAATGAAGCAGGAGACAGGGCTCCCAGAAATGGCCCGGTGCAGGTGTCCACGCTCCACTCTCCCTCTCTGCCGCCCCGGGCCTCGGAGCGCCTCGCCACAGCGGCACCATCTCAGCTGGAGAGCCCAGTTTAATCCCAAGTTAATGATGGTGGTGGAGGGTGGGGACCCTGCCCCAGCTGGCACTGCCGGGAGGGGAGGCAGAGGAGGGGCCGAGGAAGTAGCGGGCTGCTGGGAACCTCCCTGTACAATTGCAGCTTCCAGGAACTCGGGCTGGGGGCGGGGGTGGCCGAGCGGACCCAGGGCCCACCGATGCTTTCAGACTATCTGTCTTTCTTCCTGAGAGAGATTTCTCCATCCGCACGCCGTCACTCAGCCAGATGTCCACGCACACACCTCTGCACGTCTCCCGCCTCCGCAACTCTCCAGCACGCTCATCCTCACATCACACACACACGCAAACACGCATCTGTACACACATGCATCTCTGAGCTACTCAGATGGCCGCATACACACAGTTATACACACGTCCATTCCACGCCCAAACGGCTACAGATGGCCACGTGCGCTCGCTTACACGTATCCGTGCACTCGTAGTGATAAAAATAGGAGCTATCGATCGAGGACTTACTGTTTGTCAGACACCACGCTCCGTATTTCCTTCTTTACGAGATAGGCATGGCCATTTGCTTATTTTACTAGCGTGGATACGGACACTTAGAAAGCTTAAATGACATGCCCCAGCTCCCACAGCAAGGAGCTTGCTCAGAGGTAAGGAACCAGAATCTCTAGGAGTGAGGCCCAGGAATCCAACTTTTTAAAAGTGCCTCGTGGGCATTCTGAGGCCAGCTGGGGTTGAGACCGTGTGCTGTGCTGTGCGGCCTTCTAGACACGGTCACCGCCCCGTGTGGCTGCCCCCTGCGCACCCCTCGCCGCACCTCCGCCCTCTCAAGCCCCCGCGCACACCCCCCGCTTTCCCCACAGCTACATACACACCGCCCACACGTGCACCTTCCACACGCATGTGCTCATGTGCGCACACACAGTCCCAGGCAAAGCCAGCCCCTCCTGCGGTTCTGTTTCCACAGCCTCTCTGGGTCTCTCCTGGTTCTCCGTCCTGTAACTCTTTGCCCCAAACCCAGGCATCAGAAACCTTGCCGAGGAGGGGCCTGGGGAGGTGAGAGGGTGGATAATCCTCCCCGCCTGTCCGTGCACAGGCTGCCGGGAATCTGAAGCTGTCCCCGAGGGCCGGTCAGCAAGAGAGGCCGAGAGCTGAGGCACTTTGCCAGGAGGGGTGGGAACACGGGATGGCATTTGCCACTCCTGTCTCTCCCAGGAGCCCCAGGAGGTGGCAGACCAGGCCTGACACCTTGGCAATTGCCTTCCTGGGTCTCTGGGTCTGCAGACCCTGGAGGCTGCCCCTCCCCCTTGCCTCAGATGGTGCAGGTCCAGCACTGGGTTGTCCCTTAGGGGGCTGCGGAGGAGCCCAGGCACCTCTCCTCTGCTCTCCCTGCGGTGGGTGTCCCCGCCCCGCAGCTCCTCTCCATCTGGTGGGCCTGGGACAGGAAGCTAGATCTGTCCCAGATCTGTCCCCTCTAGCCCCCTAGCGGGGGCTAGGTAGCTCCCCTCACCCTCGGGGTCAGCCCTGTTTCCCAGCAGCCTCCCTGACTTGGCTGCAGGGCTGGGAGGCAGGTAGGACAGAATGAGGACGTCTGAAACTATGCCAGTGGGGCCCTTCCCTGGTGACGCGAGGCTCTAAACGCACGAGCTGCAGCCTGGCAGGGGAAGGCAGAGTCTGAGGTGGTTAGACCTCCAGGAGGAGTGTGGGGGGCGGGAGGTGTTTAAGAAAAAAAAAAAGCCCAACGAAGGGGGCCGAAGGCCAAGGCAAAAGCCAAACAAGGGGCCCCAAGCCCCCGAAAAGCGCAAGCCGGCCGGGGCCGGCCGGCCCCCGCAAGGCCTGCTCTCCACAGCCCCGCTGGCCTGGGCCTCTCAGCCTGCCCTGCCCTCTGCACCACTCTCCCCTTCTGCCAGCCTCCCCCCTGCCCTGCTCCAAGCTGGGAGCACTCCACGGGGAGCATCTGGGCTCCCCTGCTCTGCCTGGTCTCTTGCAGTCCATTTGCTGGGCTGTAGTGTGGCCTTAAGGAACCCTCCCAGAGTTTTGTGGGACTGACCGCTGTCTCCTCATGTCGGGGAACTACAGAGCACTGTCGGCGAGAACTTCCTGCCGTGGTGGAAATGTTCTATCATCTGCGCTACCCCACATGGTTATCGGACACCTGCACCGTGGCTAGTGCCTAGCTCGTGCTAGGAAAGCACTCTTAGAACTGAGCTGAATCTGCGTCGTGGTAGTCCCACGTGGCTGTCACCTACCATACTGGACAGTCAGCCTGGGAGGCCACAACTCGGGGCTGACAGTGTGGAGATCAGGTCATGCCATAATCTCGCTGTGTGACCCAGGGCAGGCCACCGATCCTCTCTGGGCCATTCTTCCTTCCTCTATAACATGGCAAAGATGTATTGCCTCTCCTCCTAACCTCAAGGGGAAGGGAAGATCCACAAATGGGAAAATTTTAACAAGGAAATGGCCTCAGATACCCAGGTGCTACAACAAATGCAGAAGTTAATTATTTCTGTAATTTGGCTACCAGAGCCATAGCAACAATATAACGATATGATCATCCCTGCTAGGCTTTGGAGCCCAGGTGAACCCTCTTACCTGGAGAAGCAACAAGGGCCACAGCAGCCAGCAGCAGCACATGTAGCTTCCTCCTGGTGGGTGTCCCCATGGCGGGTGTTCTGGGCAGAGGTGGGATCAGAGGAGGAGCTTCGGCTCAGCCTGGGGCGCGTCCAGCTGGAGGCAGGGAAGGACCTAGGAGATGACGGACCGATGGAGGGCTCTGAGCGGAGGAGCGCCCCTCCAGCTCCAAGCACGTCTGAGTCGGTAATGCCTTTACCTCCGCCAGGAGCCACCGGAACTGCCCAAGCACTAATCCTCCCCAGGCCCCAGGGGAAGGGGCTTGGCTATTACCACGGAGCTCTTCCCGGGCTGAGTGCCTCCTGCAGGCCCCCTGGGAGTCTGGCTCTGCCTTTAACCCCCACCCGCTCCAGTCAGCGGGTGCTGCTCAGGAAGTGAAAGCCGTGACTAATTGGGAGGCAAGAGCCCACCTGCCTGCTCTACCCAGCGCTCGCGCTCAGACATAGGGTCCAGGAGAGAACAGGGCCCGGCCTCGGCTGGGAACCGGCAACATCTTCCTCTGGCAACCAGGACTGGGGCTGACTGGCCCCCTGCCCCTCCCCACAGCTGCCGGGCGGAGGCGGGGGGGGGGGGGATGCTAATAAGCCCCTCTGGGAGCTGCATTAAGTCTCTAGGGACCAGCCTAGTTTTTCTAGCTGTAAGGAGGGTGTATCACTGGTTTATCCACAGCCTTCCACCAGGGTCCCCAGGTAAGGCACTTAGATGCTTTGCACGACAGAGTCAGGACCTTGGCCCCATTAGCACCACTCCCAACCAGAGGGGCTAATGGGTTGAAAGGGTTAACACAGCTCCCAGAGGAGCCTCCCTCTTGCATAGAGATGAGCGGAGACTTGGTTAAATCCTGGAGCTCCATAAAACTGTTCCCTGCAGGCTGCTGAGAGCAAATCATAGGCCCGTCCCATCAGTCTGAGAGATGGGGGCCTCATCTTAAGAGGCGAGGGCAGGGGCAGGGCCGGCCTTCCGTCCATCCCCATCCCTAGGAGAACTTCCCAAGTGCAGAGGAGAGCATGGAAGGGATCTCAGGGCCCTGCCTGCTGGGTACCAGAGAGAGCCTGAGGCACTGGGCTCCCACTTGGAGCTGCCACTGGGGCCAGAGAGCCCAGCTGCGGGGCTGGGGAGAGAGCCTGGCTGGGGGCTCTTCCACTAACTGCCTGCGAGACCTGTCCCGTCTCTGGATCTCAGCATTCCAGCTCTGACAATGCTCCCAGAAAGTGCAGGGCGGCCGAGGGCATGGGACACGCTGTCCCCTGGATAGGGGAGGGGGTTGCAGGAGGAAGGCTGCAGAGGACTTAAGACCGCCCCTGGGGCCTGTGCAGGCCAATGCGAGCTCAGGGTCTCACAAAGAGAGTCCCAAATCCTTTTAAACCTCCACATTCGATCACCCCACAACCTCTTCCAGCCTCCTCCACAGCCACAGCTGCGGGGATGGGGGGAGGGAGGGGGAGAAGTGGCCCCAGGGCCTGTCAGGGAGGATGTGGGCAGAGCCGAGGATCCTGCGGGGAGGCGCTAGGAGCAGATGGCACTCCCTCCCCCACCCTGACTCCAGCCTCAGATCCACTTCCCATTGTCAGGAAGGGTGCCCAGGAGCCACCTCTCCCCAAATACCTGCTCCTCCCTGTCCTTGCTGCTCTCAGTTCCAGACCCGACCCCAGACGTTCGCCCGGCGCACCCATCTCCGTCCTCCTGTAGCGCCCTTCCCAGGCAAGGCACACGCATCCTGCCAAGCCCTGTTCACATCTCCCCTCTGCCTGGAAGCGCCTGAGATGCTCCCACCTGCGCGCAGTTAGAATTCACTCTTCCGACTATACCCTGGTGCCCCTGGCGCTGTGCCTGTCCCCACTGGGAGGCTGTGAGCTCCCCAAGGGGAGAGATCATATTCAGTTCAATTTGGTGTCTCCAGTGCTAGCACATGTGTCGAATTTGTGTTCTCTGATTGAGAACAGCTGTGATTACGTGCCTCCGGGAGCCAGCGAACTCCTACGAAGTTCCCTTTAAACAAAGGCTGCCATGGCTCCAAAAAGTTTGAAAATCACCCCCTTGGCACTGGTGTCGTGGTGTCTGGCACAGAGAAGGTGCTCAATCATAATCTGTTCCCTGCCCTTTGTCAGCCTCCAGTCCCGGGAGCCCAGCGGGGGCAGGGTGCCTGCCGGGGAGGAGCTTGGGCTCCAGGCACTTATCCGGGCAGTGCCAGAGCAAGGCAGAGACAGCAAACCAGGGCCGGAGACTCTGGGCAGACTCCTGCCCTGACCTCCAGCCACCCCGGCAGTGCGTCCCGGTGTGCACGTATACGATGTTTGTGTGTGTCTGTCTGTCGTGTCCATATGTTCCTGTGTGATCTGACCTTTGTGTCTCTGCATATATGCGTGTGTCTGTGTGTGAGGATATCTGGTCTTTGTGAGTGTGTGTGTGTGTGTGTGTGTGTGTGCGCTTGTGCGTGTGTGCGCTTGTGCGTGTGTGCAGGGCCTGAGGACTTGGCCCCTTGCCTTGTTTCCATGTGGCCCGCCAGGAGGCCTGCTCCCTGGATCCTTCACCTCCCTCCCGGTGGTCAGAATTATCTGTGGTCTCTATTACCATAGATAATTACCACAGGTAAACACGGATAATCCACTCCCACTGCTCGTCCTAAACGTCAGTTTCATCCAGACTCTTACCAGGCAGCTCCCCAGCCCCAGGGCCCTGGATATCTGCTGGGGATTGAGCCTTAAAGGAGAAATGGGGGGTGGGCCGGGATCCAGGAGCACCTGGGGTTGCCCTCCGGGAGCACTAGAGAGCTGTCAGCCCGATCTGATGTATACCGCGCTCCATTGTGTGCTGCACACAGACACACTCGGAGTCTGGGGCTGGAGCTTATTGCCTCCCTGCAGGCAAGGCACTGGCACCCAGTCTTACCCTGCATCCGTTTCCATTGTGGTATTTGTTAGCCGCGTGCCAGGCACTGTGTCTGCACACGGAGACAGTGACAGAGACGCTGCCTCCACAGAGCTCCCGGACCCACCGAGTGCAGCCTGAGATGTGCTCATGAGTTCACAGATCAGTCATCTCCCCTGCCATCTGCCCTATGACGTGTTCTAGAATGCCCAGGATGGAGGAGGCCTTTTTGTCAGGAGCAGGGCTGGAGTGGAGCTATGCCAGGCCTAGAGCTGGCCCCGCGAGCCCCAGCCAGCTGCCCTGGGACGGGGTGCAGGCACAGGCTGGCACAGGCGGACACAGGCTGTCGCCAGCAGGGCTGGTCCTGTGAGGCACTAGCACATGGGGGAATAGACCACTCGGGGGCTCAGGGGCTCCAGAGGGAGCTGGCTGAATTTGCAGGCCCAGGGAACAAAGGGCCTGGGGGACAGCTGGGGGACAGAGGCTGAGCTGGACTCCAGCGCACCACAGGGTTCCTGGGCTAGGGACCCCCGCATGGAGCCAGTCCGAAAATGGAAGATCCCTCCCCGCAAATGCTGCCTGTTGGGGTGCCCCGCGCCTGGCCCTGAATCTCTCTCTCCTTTCCCCAGATAATGGAGATTGGAGAGCACTAAGGACTTGGCAGCTTTCCGATGGGTGGCATCAGGAAAGTGGGAGTTAGAGCCCCTTGAGGACACAGACTAAGTGATTTATTAACAGCCTACAAAGGAGGTCCTCCCCTTGGCCTCCATCCCGTAGCACAGCACACTGGCTCTCAGGGCTGGCCAGGGGTCAACCAGCCTGGTGCTTTCTAGCTGGTATAATTATAGTATAACTAACTAGTTTAACCCTAGTTATTATGGTCATTACCTCACCTCTCTGAGCCTCAGCCGCCCAGCTGCAAAATGGGGATGAGACGGGCAGGGCCCACCCCACGGGACTGTTGGGAGGTCAGCGCCATACCCGGCCTGTAGTGGGTTACAAGATCAGACCTCAGAACCCTCACAGCCCTCCTGTGTCCACACGCACTGTGCCCGTTTGTGAGCCAGGCTGACTGCCCCGCAGTCACAACATGCGGGCTGCACTCACATGTGCGTAGGAGACTGACAAACCCACAGTCTCTTTGGGCAGCTGCCTCCCTCCTCTTACAGCCCACAGGTGCAGGGGACCTAGGGAAACACCAGCACAGCGCCCCAGTCCACGGCACAAGGACGCCCCCATGGCAGAGCTACACCTGGTACGATTCGTGCAAGGGGGCACAGCCGGGGTGTGCATGTGGGCACCCCCAAGCAGGTTCTCCTCAACACCCCCCCATGCTTCCTGCCTGGCGGGATCTAAGATGGGGGTTCAGCACCTTTTCCTCTGCCTAGGACAGGAATTGCCCGCGGGACAGCACCATCATCCTCCAGAAAGGTCTGTACCAACCCCACGCCCGTCTGGTAGGACAGGGCTCTGCGGTGGCCTGGGTGGGGGCTGATGGAGTCTCAGTGTGCCAGGCAACCGCTGGCAGGGGAAGGAGGACTGTGCTTGAGAGGGCTCTGTGGTGCCCTGAGCTGGAAAGGTCCTTAGGGCACATATGGGTGGGACAGGGACAGCCTCAGCCCCAGACGGGAGACAGGGAAGCAGTGCAGCCATGTCCTTCCTCCACCCTCCCTGACGCTCCCTTGGGTTTCTCACAGGCTCTCTGTGTTTGCAGCTGGTTTCCTGAGGCTGAGCCCCGGTGCAGATGTGCCCTCGGGGACAGCTGTGATTCCCAGGCTCGGGGACTTGTCTGAGCTTTCAGCATTGGGCATGGGGGAGTCTGGCCTCCCTGTCCCCGCCCTTTCCCATGGAAAGACCCTTCACAGTAGGGAGTGGATGGAAAGGGAGCAAGCCACCCTAGACGTTAGGTTTTCCCACTTGCCCACCCCGCTCTGTGTGTGGTGCAGGGTGGAGAGTAAGGTCTTGGAAGAATGATCCCTTTTTGAGATGCCAGGTGTAAGAACAATGGTTTCAACTTCTTACTGAAGAACCAAATCAGGAAGAAAAGTCCCTTATGCATCAGCACAGCGATTTCTGCATGTCCCCCCATCTCTGCTGAGAGGAGACTGCCCCCGATTCCCAGATAGCTTTCTGCAGGCTGGTCCCATGGTGAAACGGGTGTGG